AAGGAACTATGGATTGCTCAGGTTTCCATCCCTTACTTGTGGGCCTCCTTGGACTGCACCTGTACTGTGAGAATGAACTCTTAAGCATACAGCATGCCTACAGAACATGTATTTCTAGTGAGTGTGGGTTTCCTGTAAACCATGGGAGAAGCTGGTTCTTTCCTGGAGCTCCTTCCCTTTTCTACTCTTTGTAGAATCTTCTTTCCATAGAACACCAGTTTACTTAAGCATTTCAGGATTCTGTTTGATGATTTGAGTGTAAAATAATGATTTTCTTGGCTTGGGACCTGAGTGGATAGAATGATATGAGGTTTGAAGAAGCAAAGAGAATAATTGGAAATTTAATTTGTTTTATAGAAAGTATGTGTGTGTGTGGAGGTTGTTGTAGTTTTGGCAGTACTGGAGGTAAACATAGGTTCTCTGCTTGTTAATCAGGCACTCTACTACTTGAACCTGCTTCCAGCCCTTTCTGTCATTGTTATTTTTGAGATAGGGTTTCACTTTATGCCTTGTGTTAGCCTGGACACAATTCTCCAGTTTGTGCTTTCCCTTGTAGCTGGGATGACAGGTGCCAACTAGTGTGCCCAGCCATTGGCTGACATGGTATCTCTGGAACTTTTGCTTCCCTAGTGACCTCAAATCTTGACCCTCAGGATCTCTACCTCCTCAGTAGCCAGGATTATAGACTTGCGTCATCGTGCCTGGCCCATAGTAAATGTTTTTCAATTCAGTGCTGAGGATTTTACCTCAGGACCTCATGCATGCCAGGAAGTGCTATACTCTTGAGCTACATCCCCATCCTCCTAAGTTTTTTGGTTTTTTTTTTTTTTGTGTGATGCTGGTGCTTGAACTCAAGGCCTCATGCTTGCTAGGCAGGCGCTGTATCACTTAAGCCACTCCCCCAGTCATTTGTGTGTGTGTTGTGTGTGTGTGTGTGTGTGTGTGTGTGTGTGTATGTGATGGTTTTTTTCAAGTTCGGGGGCTGTGAACTGTTTGGCTAGGGCTGGCTTTAAACCACTCCTGATCTCTGCTTCCTGAATAGCTACAATTACCAATGCCTGGCTCTCAGTAAGTTTAGATAAGAATATAAACATAAATGGTCGAATCACACAGTTAATTAAATAGGCCATAGTCACATCTGTTTTATAGCTCCCTGATTGTTAGGGTGAACAAAAGGGAAGCCATGTTAGGATGAGATCCCCACCCATGCAGGCAGCTTACTGGAAACATGTTACTACTTACTGAAAGGACCATATCCAGCCTTAGGAATGACAAACTCACCTTGCCCTGTGATTGGAACTGGCTGAGCATCAGTCTCCTCTAGCTTCCCTTAGCAATTGTTCATCCCAGAAAAAAATCTCACTGCCCATCTAAACTGCCCCTCCAAACCCCTTCCCTATATCTACTCCAAGTCTGTAAGTGGCAGTGGAAATCTGGCTTTGGCTGAAACTCCCCTCTGCGGGGCTTCTTTTCATAATAAACCCTGTGCTGGCATTTAGCTCCTTTCCTGCCTGTCTGTTCTGTGCCTCCTTCAGTCTAACAGTAATTTCATCTAACTCTGTATGCAGGGGTGGCCTCAAGATGGATTTTTTGGACATTCTTTACAGCTTCATCATGTGCTTTACACTGAACAGAGTTTTTCTTGATTATGTTTGTTTTGGATTTTTAACTAATTAATATTACTCTTACACCATTAATATCAATGTTGAAAAGATTGTTTTGGTAAGGTTTCTTTGCCTCAGTCTGTTGCACATAGGATGGTAGATAAGACTTGGAAGTCATCTGGTTGATTGGCTTATTCCCCTGCCTATGTGGTGGTGGTTTGTTCAGATTCCATTTTTATGTTGCTGATAATATTATTTGACTTTGTACCCAAGACTGTTATAAACTCAGTTGTGTTTAAATCGTTGTGTATGATCTGATGGATGTTTTTTTAAAGTGTTTCTCTCAAAAAAGCAAATGGTGTCCCAAAAGAAAGGTAAAGTTTTGCTAATCCTCCTGAGCCAGTAAGGATTGTACATGCTAAAGTGATAAAGTGCAAATTTTATATTTGTTGAAAGCATAGGGTATTGTTAGCAGGTGTTGGTTGGCAATCTGAGAAAAATGAGTCAAGCATCTGAACTACTAAATACTAAAGATAAAGATGATATAAAATACAGTTTGTGGGTAGACAGTCATCATGCATACAATAGTTTTGTGACAGCAATGTAGTCTATTCCCAGAGATTTCAATTTATGGAAGCTCAGACTAACTGTCCCTACAGTACAGGTAAATTTGACTGTTCTAGAATTGTGACCTCTCTACATCCTGAGCACTCCTGGTTTTTCCTCAAAGGGCATATCCTTGGAAATACATACCAAGGATCTACTGTATTGTTCATGGAATAGAGGGAAATATAGTGAATGTCGGGTACATGCCAGTTCATCCCTGCCTTCTATAATAAAGAGATTGTGATTTCTGCCACTTTATACAATGCCTATTCGGCTAGGAATCAGTATTTTGAATACACGAAGGCATAGTGAAGACTGTGTGCCTTTGCAAACTCTGTTGTCATCTTCTCTGATCAAACTAAGAAGTGATCTTCTTTTGGTGACAGTGAGCTCTATCTAACAGCATCCTTACCCTTATTTCACTGTCCTTTGACATTTCAAATAAAACCTGTCAGGTTGTTAATATTAGTCCAGTGAATTAGTCTTCACGTGTCTTATTTAGCATTCAATTACTGTGGTCTGTAAGAAGCAAGATACCAGCTTCTAAATGTTGCTTCTTATTGCAATTATAGAAGTGCAGTTGTGACAGTGGTGTTAAATATGATGTATCAGAATTCACCAGATTGTATGTGGGACACTGATCAGGTGGGCTCCCTTTGATGAACATGTCAGAAACTCTCAAGGACAACAGGACTTAAAATTGCATATTATTGGCATAAACTCTTCGGAACCCTGTGCACTTCTTTACAGTTTCCTGATGAGGTACATTGCAGATACTAAAAAGGATAACCTTTGTTCAAAGTATTTCTAAGAATATGCAGTCTCAGGGAAGCTGGTATTGACTCTACTGCACACTAAGCACTAGGACTTTGTTATGAAAGGCGCTTCACACCTAGTACACAAGGAATAATCCATTAGCTCGTGTGTTCCTGTTCTGCTGATGTTTTACCAAGTAGATCCAATCTAGTGTCAGAGTTTCTGTGTCACAGAATATGTGGATGCAGAACAAGAGTGTGATCAGGACACAGAGTGAACATTTGGAAAACACAATGCTGTATTAACATGTTGAGAATGAGTATGTCTCCCAATAATTTTGAGTCTCCATTTTTCCTCATGGAGATTTGTGGGATATTTTAGGAGTCAGTGACCTTTGAGGATGTAGCTGTGACCTTCACCCTGGAGGAGTGGTTTTTCTTGGATGTATCCCAAAGGAAGCTTTACAGACAAGTGATGTGGGAAACGTTCAGGAACTTGGCTGCAATAGGTAAGGATGACATCATTCTCTCACCTAGCCAATCAGAGAAGAAGTGTGTTAAGATGAAACACAGAAAGGGAACATTTTGGTCAATATATGGTCCCTTTATACCATGAATATAGTTAGAATCTAATAGTTAAAATTATTCATAAAGGTTTTTTTTTTGTTTCATTTTAGGAAAAGAACAGAATACTGACAATCACAACAAAAATCCCTGGAGAGATGTAAGGTAATTTGCACTCACAAGAGAGCACAATTTCCCTCAGGAATTGTGGAATGACAGGAAGTTTTTTTTTAAAAATCACATGATACACATAGCCCAGGTTCAAATTGATTTCATATGAGAACATATTCTCAAAAAATGCATATACTTAGAGCTGTACAGTTGGAAAATTTGAAATCTGAAATATTCCACTATTAGAAATATCCTGAACTCCAACATGATACCCCAAGTAAGTTTCTGAAAGCTTAATGGATACAAAGTTCTTCTGTGAGCAGAATTATTTAAAATGTTGTATTAAATTACCTTTCCTCTTTGGGTATAATGTATATTTGAAACCAATATGATTTTTGTGTTAAGACCTGAAATTGACTTTTAAGTTTTATCATTATGCATTTGCAAATATTTCTTAATCCAAAACAAATTTGATCCCCAAATTCCCCATAAATAATACTGATGGTTTGTAAATGTGATGTAGACATTCAATGCCTTTGAATACCTAAGTTGGAAACAATATTAGGAAACCAGATAAGGCCAAGGGCCTGTGTCTCTCGCCTGTAATCCTAGCTACTTTGGAGGTTGATGTCAGGAGCATAGCAGTTAGGCCAGTGTGGGCAAATAGTTCATGAGACCCAATCTCCAAAAAATAACCAGAGCAGAATGGACTGGAGGAGTGGCTCCTGGTTTACAAGCATAAAGCCATGAGTTCAAACCCTAGTCTCAGAAAAAAAATTGAAACCTGATATGAATACCACAGCTGTCCTCAAGCCATCTTGTAAGGCCTTCAGTCCATTCATGTTTAAAGGTTCTTTTAGGGAGTAAGCCAGTGCTTCCCATGATAAATCATTAATAAACAATCCCTTAGTAATGTGTTTGTTTCTTATAGATATGACATGGTAGGAAGACTCTGTGAGCATAAACAAGGTGGTCAGTGTGGAGAAATTTTCCACCAGTCAGCACATTGTATTCTGAACAAAAACATTCCTGCAGATGGATCACCATGTAAAAATGCTGTGTATGGAGAAGCCCTCATTGGTCATTCATCTGTAAATGTGCCCCTCAGAGCTCACCTTCAGCACATACCACATGAGTATCAGATATATGGGAAGAAGCTGTATAAACTTAAGGAACCTGGAAAAGCCTGTAGTTATCCGCAGGCCCATCAGAAGCATGAAAAGGTTCACACTGGAAAGAAATCCTATGCCTGTAAGCAATGTGGGAAGGCCTTTAGTTCTTACAGATACTTTCAAATACATAAAAAGAACCACCGTGGAGATAAGCCCTCTGTGTGTAAACAATGTGGAAAAGTCTTTAGTTCTTCCACTTATGTTCAAATACATGAAAGAACTCACAGTGGAGAGAAACCTTGTGTATGTAGGCAATGTGGGAAAGCCTACTGTGATCCCAGTTCCCTCAGAAAACATGAAAGGAGTCATACTGGAAAGAAGCCCTATGTATGTAAGCAGTGTGGGAAAGCCTTTAGTTCCTCCACTTATGTTCAAATACATGAAAGAACTCACAGTGGAGAGAAATCCTGTGTATGTAATCAATGTGGGAAAGCATTCTATTATCCCAATTCCCTCAGAAAACATGAAAGGATTCACACTGCAGAGAAACCCTTTAAGTGTAATCACTGTGGGAAGACCTTTATTCATTCTAGTTCTTTTAGAAGACATGAAAAGATTCACACTGGAGAGAAACCCTATATATGTAAACAATGTGGGAAAGCCTTCACTTTTTTAACTGCTGTTAGAAGACATGAAAAGACGCACACTGGATGGAAACCCTATGTCTGTAAGGAATGTGGGAAAGCCTACAGTTCTTCCAGTTACCTTCAAATACATGAAAAAGCTCACAGTGGAAGGAACCCCTGCATATGTGTACAATGTGGCAAAGCCTATTCTACTCCCAGTTACCTCAGGGTCCATAAAATGATTCACACTGGAGTGAAACCCTATGAGTGTCAGCAATGTGGGAAAGCCTTTAGTTATTCCACCTACCTTAAAATGCATGAAAAAACACATACTGTGGAGAAACGCTATGAATGTAAGCAATGTGGAAAAGCCTTTAGTTGTTCCAAGTACCTTCAAGTACATGAAAGAAGTCACATTGGAGAGAAACCCTATGTATGTAAGCAATGTGGGAAAGCCTTCAGTTCTTCCAGTTACATTCAAATACATGAAAGAACTCACACTGGAGAGAAACCCTATGAATGTAAGCAGTGTGGGAAAGCTTTTACTTCTAATTACCTTCACATACATGAAAGGATTCACAGTGGAGAGAAACCGTACGCATGTAATCAATGTGGGAAAGTTTTCATTCATCCCAGTTCCCTCAGAAGACATTATAAGATTCATAGTAGAGAGAAACTGTAAATATAGCATGTAGGGAGGCTTCATTAACATTGCCTTTCCTAGGAAACTGTAGAATGCATTGTGGGGAGAACTTTTGTAAAGTATGTGGTAACATCTCTAGTCTACTGGGTTTAATTCACAGATATGAAAGAACACAATATGTAAAGAATCCTTTAATAGAAGAATTGTGCAGAATTTTCAGTTGACACACATGTGCAAATTGACATTCACCAAAACCTGGGGAGTGCCTGGTAGAGTGGCTCAAGTGTGGGGCCCTGAGTTCAAACCCTAGAACTGTCCCCCCAAACAAAATCATTAAAAAGAGGTGGGGGGGAACCCTGTGAAAGTGAGAATTAAAAGAAAATTATCAATTGTAATAGGTTCAAAGTCATGTGTAATTTGCTTATGTAGTGGAATGCTATAAATGCAAATCATGAAGAGCTTTATGTAATTTATATAGAATAATCCAGAATATACACCACTGAAAAGAAATGATCTAAAATTCATATTATTTCCATAGCTGATGTTAAAGTACTACTCTGAACTATGTATTTCTAGATTTTAATCTCGAAAATAAATGTTGAAGTGACATATTTTGTATGTCTTGGAAATAATGTATGAGTTTAATAGCGTCTTTTGAACCAAGTCAGGTAATAAGTTTTTTATCTTTTCCTTTTGAGTCTGTTGGCCTATGCCTGAGGTAAAATGTATTTATAATATGTTAATAGGTGTAATTTGTATATAATTTTAAAGTAATAGTTCTGCTTAATAGGCCATATGTATTGTTGGTGTTTTCCTACTGGCTTCATGTGCCATGTTCTTAACTGTTACTGTACTTTCTCTTGTTAGAACAAATGACATTTTATATGTCCTTTGTAGTTTTTAATTCTTTATGTATATTTTCTTAACTATGATTTCTGTTTGCATTTTTCAGAAAACTCAACTGTTTTTACACAACTGGTAGATTAACAAACGTTACCTTTCTATTTGCATATAATAGTTGTTCAGGGTGTACATTGTTATACTTGACATATATAGTGACATGTCTTTGTTTCCTCCCTCCTCATTCTCTTCTTTGAACAATTTAAACAGGTTTCATTCTTCTGTTTTAATATATGAGTACAAAATACATCCATCATATTCACCCCCGTTCCTCTTTTCCTTATTCCTGCCTCCCCCTTCCTTTTTTTGTGGGATTGGGGTTTGAACTCAGGGCTTTATGCTTGCAATGCAGGTGCTCTACTGTTAATGTGAAGATTCCTACCACTGTCCCATCATCATCACAGGAGATCAATTAATAATAAGTTTACCGTACTTTTTCTTTGTCCTCAAGAATCATTATGTGCTTTCTCCCTCATGTAAATTGCTTGTATGCGAAAACTGTCATTTGTCCTTTACTCTCAATAACAAAGACTCACCATCCTGCTGTATGTGCCTTCCTACCAGGGACTACCAAGAACATTCCTTTTTTGTCACATAGATGTGATGAATTAATAATAAATTTCTCCATTGGTCACTCAGAGCAGTCTCCATATAATCTCTGACAAGACTGGTTTTAGTTCTCTGTAGCGATGTAGTTCTGTGTCTGCCAGATGCACTTAGGGTGTGCATGCAGTTCTGTTGGTAATCTGATAGCCCTAGCCCGGAAGGCTGGAGCAGTGAGTAGAGTGACTGGAAGCATTATTCCTGACATACAGGTCACCATAATTAAAGACTAGAGGAACTTTGCTCTTTTTTTGTGTGTGTGATACTGGGGATTGCATTCAACACCTCATGCTTGCTAGGAAGGCACTCTACCTACCACTTGAGCCACTCCACAGCTTTCCTTTTATATTTTTGATTCAAAAATATAAACAGCACTTGAGTCAGATGCTTGAAAATATTTGGGTCTCCAGGACACCCACCTTTCTGTCCAACTTCACTATACTGTCAAGGTCCCACAACCTTCCCCTTCTATCATGTTGGGTAATCTACTAAAGGAATGCATCTTACCTTTAATGTCGTATTACCACTTTATATTGAAGATACAACCTGGGAGCATTCACCTAGAAGAGCCACAAAGAGAAACGTGCATGGTAAGCACGTGTACATGTTCACATCAGTGCCCTCAATGTGTTCACCAACTCTGAGGTTCTCCACACCTCATCACTTGAAATTGTAAGGTGGCTTCTAGGGTGTTCACATCATTGATTAACCCTCAATAATTCGCTCGGTCTTTCCCTTCTCCCTTATTCAGGTCCATGGAGTGTGTATCACCATCTCATGGTTACAGGAGGACTGGTGCTGGTGATCAGAAGTTTGATCTGAGGCAAGGAGTTCATAGTGAAGCAGCAAAGTTTATTGAAAGCAAAAGTAACACCATTGAAGAAGAAACAGTGGGCTCCAGCAGTGCAGCTCAAGAGCACCTTCTTCTGGGGTCTATATGGCTCCTATTTGGTTTGGGTCAGGCTGGTAGGAAAAACCTCAGTGAGCTGGGCACCAGTGGCTCATACCTGTAATTCCAGCTACTGAGGCAGAGATCAGGAGGATCACAGTTTGAAGCCAGCCTAGGCAAATAGTTCGAAAGACCTTATCTTGAAAAAGCCCATCACAAAAGTAGCGCTGGTAGAGTGGCTCAGGGTGAAGGCCCTGATTTCAAACCCCAGTGCTGTACATACAAAAAACTCTTGGTGTCTTTGCAGGTGGGTTAGGGTCATTGGCAGATTTGATCGACAACCAGATGTTCCTTAACATCTTTGTGCCTGTCCCCACTCACTGTGTGCATGAGATGCAAGTAATATTCATGAAGTCTTAAGTAGGAAAAAGGACCTAAAAGGTTATTTAAGGTGGCTGTTGGGCTGCACCATTATTGCTGCTTCCTCACTTTGCAGTATGCAAGGGACCACAGAATGCTGTTAATATGCAAAAGGAGAGTTTGGGGGCATCTGGGAGAGGTTCTGAACATACCTCCCCTGCTAGTGGCCTTTGCCAGTCTTCACATTAACCCTGTAAGGCCTGGAACCATATATTAACTTCCCCTGAGAGAGAAGATCCCCCAAAATTGGGGGTGGCTGAGAGAGATGTCTCTTTTCTGTCACTTCTTCAGTGCTTATCAGGGTCAATCAACCCTACCTACAGAGGACCCTTGCCCTCTTATCTTTCTAAGTTTGGGACCAGGGATACTGGTAACAAGTGTTCTCCAAACAGTTACAGTTAATTGGGCCTCAGAGCTGGGGCTAAGACCCTGAAAGTGCACAGTTTGCAACCCTGATGAGATGAACCTGGAAAGATAAAGACAAGATAAAGGCTGGTGACCAAAATTGGCAGGATTACAAGCAAGGGTCCAAGAAAAGGAGACAACCATGAGAGCCAGGACCAAGTTCCTTCCCAATGGAGCCATCCTTTTTGGCTCTTTTCCTGAGGTCTCAGGCTTTTTGCAGTATCTGGCTTATGGTGTTTTGTATTTCCCCAGATTTGTTAACATTCTGGCCACATGCTGGTGGCTCACACCTGTAATCTTAGCTACTCAGGAGGCAGAGATCAGGAGGGCCAAGGTTGAATCTGGCCCAGGTAAATCGTAAGACCCTATCTTGAAAAAGAATCATCACAAGACTTGGTAGAGTGGCTCAAGCAGTAAGAATGCCTGCCTAGCAAGCAGGAGGTCCTGAGTCAAACCCCAGTGCCACCAAGAAAAAACAAAAAACCCCACAACATTCTTACAGCATGGTACAGGTCCTATCCTGGGAAGATATGATTATATTCAGGACATGCCTGTTTTGCAGTACCATGGCAGATAGAGAATGACCTGTATTTTAAGGTCTAGGAGAGTGGTGCCTATCTTATTTAGGCTTTCATGTATTTCCTGGGACACTTTTTGTATACCCAAGTTGTGCTAATAATCCAAGATTTTTCATCTGCCCCCAAGCTCCAGCAGCAAAGGGAACAATGTTGCTTCCTGTGTTTCTGGTCTCATTTTGATCTTCGGTGGGGTTCGAGAGTCTCTCGGCACCAGATGAGGAGCAGGCGACAGCCAAGGTGCGTATCACTGTCCATTTGGCAGGTAGGCATAGATATGACTGTCTCCCACACAGGAGTACTTCACTGTGGAAGTGTCACTGAGAGTGGACTCAAGCCCAAATGTACCAAAGCCCCACTGCTGCCATAGTCCCTTCCTGGTGTACTGCAGTCTATCATCTAGTGGCCAGTCAAGGTCATAGCTGTTAGGGGGCACAAGCAAGGAAACACAGTCTTAATTTCCCAAAAGATTGAATGTATACTGAGGTCAGCAAGTCCCCAGGCTTTGGATCCCAGCTTCCCAGTATCCTCTGCCAACTGACTACTTCCTAGGTGTCAAAGGGTGTTTGAACCAGTGACTCCTTGGGCATTCACTTGAGTATTTGGAGCAAAATGACACTCCATTGTGTCTAGAGTCTTATCATGGAGGGTAATGTTTGGAGTTCCAGGTCTCTTGGTACTCATCCAGTACTTGTTGGATCCCCTCCTGCCTGCAGTCATCCCTGAGATAAAAGTCCCTAAACTTGTTGTCTGATTGCATTAGAAAGGATTTAGGTGCCCTAGTAGGATACCCTTTGCTCAGTTACCCCATTTGCAAATGTGAACCTGGCCATTTCCTTATATCCAACCCCCCTCCCACTGGTATCAACCCAACCAGACAGGATCTGGCTTACTTTCCTTTCTGCCATTTTTGAGGGAAAAAAAGGCATTTTTCTTTGGTTAAGGTATCTATACTTGGCATTTCCATGTATATATGTATTGTATCCCAAATTGACAAGTTTTGCCTCTGACATCTAAGACTTCATCAATTTTTTATTTATTTTATTTTGGGATGCTGGGGTTTGAACATGTGGCCTACACCTTCAGCCATTTCACCATCCCCCTTTTTTTCTGAAAAATTTTTTTTCCAGATAGGGTCTCACAAACTTTGCCTGGTCTGGCTTCAAACCTCAATCCTTGTGATCTCTGCTTCCTGAGAAGGACTACAAGCATAAATCACTGGCCACCCAGCTATATCATGAATTTAATACAAAAAAATTCATCATTCTTTCACAATGCTAATGATACACAATAATCCATCATCTTCCTATAAATTAACTACAAACAGTTGGATTTGAAATGACCATTACAACGTGATTTATGTATCACAGAGTGCCTGAACAAGTGAGGGAGAGAGGGACAGTTCACAAACATGAAGGACCACAAAAGAAAAATGCTCATGTTTAACACTAAGTGTTAAACATTGGGTGACAAATACAAATTAGATCATTCCAAGTGTTGATAGTGACAAAAGAGACATACATCTATAAAAGGTCAGATGACAAGCTCATGCAATATAACAATTTCCTACTAAATTTTATGCATAATCTATTCATACAGATTTTTCTCATTCTGTTAAAAAATTATCAGCTGGGGGTGTGGCACACACCTTGACTAACAAGCACTAGGTCCTGGGTTTAAATTCCAGTAC